AAGAAGAAGAAGAAGAAGAACGAGAACGACGACGACGAGAAACAGGGAGAGTAGGAGAGGGTTGATGATCAAGATAGGATGAAGGATAGGAAGAGGAGGAGGAGGAGGAGGAGGAAGAGGGGGAGATGAGCGAGGGTGAGAAGGAATAGGAGGAGGATAAATTAAAGTAGGAGAAAGGACAGGAGGAGGAGGAGTAAAAGAAGTCGCTGGGATAGGAGGGGCGAAAGTAGGAAGGTTAGGAGGAGGAAGACTGGAGGTTGAGGGGAGCGAAAGGGGTAGGAGGAAGAACATGAAGATTGATGGAATACGCGGGGGAGGGAGGGTAGGAGGAGGACGTGGAGGAGAAGAGAAACAGGACAATGTCCATTACATCTTCCGTAATTTAAATTTTAATGTAGGTGTTTTACCCCACCATCAATACAACTTAGATCATTTAGGAGGCGGGCCTTCAACCCTTCCTACCAGGGCCAACCTGGGCTGAGAGAAATACAACAATAATATAGCAGGAGAAAGACCGAACGGGTTGATAATAATATAAATACTCCCAACTCGAGTATAATCGAACTCGGATCTACTGCGTGCGACAGCGAAGCCGCGCCTAGCCGTTTCAACAAAGACGCCCTTAGGCCTTCCGTGAATGCAGCAGAACGATAAAACGACAAGAGATTTTTTCCTTTTTATAGATAGGAACGTGTGCCGTGACCCAGAACAATCTACATGTACTTCCTTGTTGATATCTTCATGTTTTCTATACATACAGCACCTACTGTGTACACATTTGGGACCGTTCCTTTCCAGGGGCAGGCAGTTTTGAGTGACTGGTGTCCTCTGTGTCTCTGTGTCTACAGAAGGGAATTCTAACTGTGGGATTTGACTGTTTTGATACAGAAGCATTCTACTTCTAGTTGGTGTAGATTCTGTGTTTTTTACCGACGTATGAGGTAAGATTAGTAAGAGTATTTTCGTCTCTCATGGAGAGATAAATAGATAGGTAGATACATAGATAGACAGATAGATAGATAGATGGATATATATAAATAGAAAAATAAATTGATAGATAGATAGATGATATGAGAGATGTCGGGAAAGTAAGGATATTCTGCACTATATATTTTTCCCTTGCCCATTTATATGAGATTGACGCCATCTGATTAGTAGAAAAAAGTGCATAATAATTGTGTCCAATAGTGTATTACACGCATACTTAGTATATCAATTAACTGTAATAGCGGATGGAGATTCCAGGATTATAGATGTAAGTCATTGATCTGAGAGAGGTGATTATTTTAGAATTAATAGTGGTGATGAGTGATGATGAGGGATTGCATTTAAGTAATGTTAGCGTTAGTCCTATCTTCCTCTGCTCCAATGAGTCACGAGGGACGTGGGCACCCTCTATCCCGTTCCCT